GGCACACGGAACTTAAGATATTATTTCGTGTTATAATGTTTGTATATTTACTTCTTTAACATGTTAATGAAAACGTTGTCAAATGGTTCAGAAAATAGTTTTAGTTTGAAAACAAAAAATGAAGATATTTTTTTTTATATCACGTTTTCTCTGTTTTAAATTATGTAATAAGGATTTTAACAACAGACATTACCGCTTGTGCATTCATGTTAAATCATGAAACCACAGATTTTTTTTTGAATTTATTATCAATATTCGATGAGTTTTTAACAAAAGGTATTTTATTAATTAATTAATTTATTTATTTATTTACATGTATTTATTTTGATACGAGTTTATGAATAATTTTGGATTGGTTTAGTTACAAAAGATACGGTCATTTCGTTGTCGTGAGCTGCTCAATAATATTTTTATCAGTAATTGAGATGCGATTTCTAATAAAAGATACAACAATGTTTTGGGATTGCCAGCAATACCTTTATTATTTTGTATCTTTTAAAATGAGATATTAATGTGACATATTGGAATAATTACTAAATTATTGTCTTGTGTTAACAGTAAATACTGAGCTCGCAAGGATTGAAACAGCATACATCCGATTGTCCAGATGTAAGATGATAATAAGGAGTACGAATTTCTACCGGGGTGGGCTGAAGTGGAGTAAAAAATGTTTGTCAATGTAAAATATAAAACTTACTTATATTTATACCACAGACCTATAAGCAAAGCCCGACAAAATTGATATCGCTGATATTTACAAATTATAAGGATATATTAAATGCATGGTGCTAGACTAATACCAAACAATTCAAACGAATGGCATCGATATCTCCGTAAGCGTAATGTTTCTTTTAAAATAAAGGTATTAAAAGTTATTTACATATAATAGATATGTTTTAGCAAACAAATTGAACTTCTTTAAAGATAATTCAGTTTTCCTACTTTCAAAAATAGATTGACGTATTTTCTATGTTCTATTACCCGGGACATACGGATTTCTCATTAGATTTAAAACCATTAAGTTAAACATACACAACGAATGATCGAGAAATCGAAAACCTTTTTTAATCTTGTAATTTATAGAATACATCTAACGTGTTTATGGTAATGAGATTGAGATGATATTTGTGAGATCTTAAAATGGTAGAATTGTTTAATTTATTTCTCTAGGCAATGATTTTTTCAAACCATTACAGAAACCATTACAGAAGCCATATGGTAATTGTTTGTGACGTTTACAGGAATTTAAAGGTTAAGAATGCTGCAGACTGGCTTCGTGTGATTCAGTTTATTCGGTAATGATTGTTTTACATCCTTAAAATCATTTAACCAGGTTATGAAGAAGTCAACATTTACACATATTCTTTTATAGTAGAATAACTGAGAAAAATTCATATGTTTGAATGTTGTCTAGATTTCATTACATTGTATGCTGCTTTGGAACAGTCGCATTGTACTTGAACCCAGAGTGTTATAGCTTGCTGAAGCTATTATACATTACTCTACATAGATGACAAAAAGTACACATTAATTAATGTTCATATTGGAAACCCTCTTTCTTTCCATAGAGCAAATACATTGAAATGTAATCGTTAGACATTTTAAAAAAAAGCTATAATCAATGTTATTTTGCCAACTAACAATTTTATCTTCAGCTAATTATTCAAACATAATTGAATTTAACTTTAAATATACAACTTAATTAATTCAAAACGTGTGCCGTAAGAAAAAGTAATGAATTGTTTTGGGGAAACGTTTTAATAACATTTCATTTTCGTCTTTTGATATAGAGCTTTTTTAATTCAATCATTCTGATTTCATATCTGTTAGTATTTAAAAAAGAAAACCTTTTCAAAGTGTATGGCAAATTTATTGTAATGAGCTTGTTTGATATATATCTGCTAGTTAAGACTGTTATAATAATAAATGTGATTGAAATGCAGTGAATTGTTTTAATGCTGTATTCTATTGTTGACCATTTGTAAAAAAAAACACACACAAAATAAATTAAATCTTAAATGATCATAACAAGAATCGCAAAAGTGAACGTAAAAGAAAGAAATCCAAATAAAATTATTGAAAATCTATCCATCATTACAGCTAAGTCCTCGTATGTGTAAGGAAATTGTTCTATATTGTTTTCATCTTTACTTTCTGATTGTGTCTTCTCGGTTATGTCCTCCTTTGTTACTTCTTCAACAACAACTAAGGGACTTTTATTCGCCGATTTTGATAATGATTCCGTTTTGCTGAAATTAATTAACTTTATTATGAGAATACATTTCAGATACATAATCTTATTTGCAGGACAGAATTTGAGTGGCTCATTTTAGCCATTAGTTACCTTTCTTACACTTGTTTCATATGCTAATTAATAAGAATCGATATGATGAATTCGTATATTACTGTTATTTATCATGTTTATATGTACATTTATGTGTGCAACTTACCTTCAAAAATGAATAATAATTCACTAACATGCTACTCCTGTCTGAATTATTTTCTACGTGTTATGTATACGAGGGGTTATCCAAAAATTCGTGGACTTTCTTTGTTGCGTAAAATATATTTGGGATATTAATTTGAAATTTTCACAAAGCGTACAAGAATTAATAACAAGTAACCACAGAAAAATTCATGTGAGTAGCTTTCTACATTCCAACACTATTTCATTTCATATAAACACATGTCGGCGACAGCGGCGCACTCCAAAAAATTATTGACGTCAACGTCATAATATTAACGTACATATTGTGCTTCAACGTTACGCAGTCAATGACGGTTACTGTTTCTCAAAGAAATGTCCATCACTAAATTTCTTATGCAACTTTAACACTAATGATCGTGAAATTTTCTTTTCTCTGTCCGTCTGCTGATTTTTATCAAATGTTTTTGTAGGTGTCATCCCCAAATTGCAACAAAAATTTATGATCGTTATATGATCGCGCGATTTTCTAATTACTGCGTGTCCGTAATTTTCCGTTGTAAACAATAAAGGCGTCTGGCGTTTCTAGCGATATCAACAAAAATAAACGGAAATGACGTCCATTATTTTAAAGAATTACTTACATGACATCATAGAAGAAACATGCGATGTTCAGCGGGTTTTCTACGTAATATTTTAGTTCTTTTAGCAGGAAACTTACTGCGTTTTTCTACCGTGCGCCGGGTGCCGTGTATGTGCTTATTTAAAAGCAATATAAAATCATTATTTATGGACACAATTGACTGTTGCTTTCAAAATGTGTTGATAATATTCTACACTGTATGCTGATAAAATTTCATTGCAATACACGTTGACGTGCAAAAGATATTTAAAAAGTCCACGAATTTTTGGATAACCCCTCGTACAATAGATTCCTACGTGGAACCTTTCAAAATTAATCAAAGTAATCAGTATATCTTTTATTTACTAAACTAAAAGATTATTGTACTCTGAACATACCTACTAGTTCTATTTCTCTTCATGCACACAAGAAAGGCTAGAAAATTTGCAAATGTTTTCATATTCCTTGACATTTTATCTTTATCCTTTCTGTAATGTTTCAAATGTAGAATATACACTGTCATAATAAGTTCAAGACTACTAATGATTGTTCCACCAAGCATATACAAACCTGAAAGTTAAAGAAAATATACTAGTATATCATATTAAACACCTTTGGTATTCACAGAAAACATGCACTTTGCTATGCTTACCTTTTCAGGAAATCATTTAATACGACGAGTGAGACAGAATTGATGCGACTCATCTTATAAATTACATTTCTGACAGTTTACAATAACAAAAAAAAATCAGTACTCAATATCTTAAGAATACTCTCTTTTTGTATTAAAAAATCAATTTTTACCGATTTTTTAGGCAATTTGCCATGAATCTCAATACATGTATGCCCTGAAGGTATCGGGGAGTAACAAGCCGAGTACTTGCCGAAAGCTGTAGCTGTTAGCATACTAAATGCTTTAAGCTAGTAAGAAAATCGTTCAGTCTATCCAAATCTGAAAAAAATACATTGTATGATGGCACACTTGCATTTTTTATTTTCAATCAAATTGTATGTGACAAATTGGTCTTTTTGATATAATAAAATATTTGTGGACAGTTGCAGATCATTTGGCATGAATTGTCTTCTTAATTGCTTCTTTGTTCATTTTCTCTCAGATCCTTCTTTTTTAATTTAATAAACTTGTGTCGATGAAAAGCCATAGTGACAAGCTTACTCATGTAATCGTAATCAAGGTGGATCTCTGACAATTTTCATACTTATTTATGATTGCTGTTTTGGAGGTCTTCAACTTTCTCTCTAAGATATCTGCTAAGTGAAATTATACTTCAAGAAACTATGTAAATTCTCCAATAAATAATTTTGACACTCACTATCTTATGAGAATACACCTCACTTAATTTAGCAGTAGTTCCGTTCCTTTAACCACTTTTGACGACCCTTAAGCTATACTGGATTTTTCCATTTCCAGGATCCATCGAGATTCATGTAAAATTGTAAACGAGTATATTCACAAAGTTTAATATAATTGTCATAAAAAACCAAAATAGACTCCAATTAGTGAACTAACTTTAGTCAGCAGTGAATTATAAAAGAGCAACCAATGATTTTAGAATTTGTTAAAGGTGTTATTATTTCATACAAGTAACTGGGAAAGATTTGACAAATAAATGTATACATGTTTTCTAGTAAGCTTAGAATTAAACAAAACCAGACATACTCAAAGTCGGTATCTGTAATGACGTTGTCGGTATCTTCTCCGCTACCAATGTCATCATAACCGTCAATGACAACATCAACGTCAAACCGAAAGACAACTTCTCGCCGGAATCCGTCGGAACAGCAAATACAACCAGACCAAGCAGCTGCATGATGAAAACTGGAAGCACGATATTAATCAAGTAGTAGGGTATTTTCGTCTTGTCTTAGTTCATACGAACACAAGATACTCAAGGGGTGAAACTAAGTAAGGGCAATATCTTTTCTAGCGTACGTTTTGTATGACGTCATATTCGCCATTTTGATCCAAACGTTCAATATCAATTACGTCATAAACGTTTTTCAATTTGATTGTACTAGTCGAGAACATCCATGTTGATATCTGAAAAAAAGAATTAGGAATGATGACATTTACCGGTACATTTTTTCATTATTTGAATTATGTTATTTTAAGATAAATTAAGCGTCAATTTAAAGTTCAGAAAGTTTTTCCCATGTCGTTCCACAGGAAATGAAATAGGTGACGGTATGGGAAGAGGCAACATAATATACTGTTAACTGAAAAACTTTCAAATGGATGTTAGAAAAATAAAAGAATACTGGTATGATGATCAGATTCATACCTAGAATAGGTTTTTATGGTTTACCTTTGGCTGATACCGTGGCATATGTAAAAACACGCATTTACTAGAAAAGAATATAACGCAATGTTTACAGATTGATAACAAACAAAGAGGTAGTACTGAAATGTTAGAACAAGAAAGAAATATATGAATATACCACAATTTCACATGTCTGTGTATCGAAGGGAAACTTTGAGATGTCCACTGAGCAGGATAACACAAAGTAAGCTGGTGCGAGCCAAAATACTGAACCACTGGGGTTTACATTCATTGGGATACTTTTCTGATTCCCATCATCACCTATTACTTCTGTTCCAGTAACACTGTAATCGTCAACGCAATAGTGGAAGATGAAGAATAGAAAAAAGATTGTCTATTTAAAACATTCATTTATCAAATATCTACATGGCCTATTGTGAATCCTATATACATAAAATCTATAGTAATATGCAATAATTTTAAGAAGTAACATTTCTTTTGACTTTAACAGAGATATTACGATTGACAAATATTGAAAATCATGATCTTCATGGAAATGTCAATTTATAAAAAAATTAACTGGTTAATTTTTACAAATATGAGAAACTTCTTTACAAAATATTCAATGTATAAAAATTGGATGCATGTTCAAATATGAATTCAATATATATAAGATAAAGTAACTCACGAGTTTTTCAATGCAAGTGTAGGTCTCCATATTTGACCTGATTTGAAATATACGTCAGACACGTTTCCATTCTGAGATATGTTCCAAGAAAGGCGATGATCATGCCACATCTATAATATAATGACGTTATTTATTCATGTCATTGAGGGAAATTATTGTATATTGCCACACGGCTTAAATCTTATATAACTTAAGACGTGATTTTGGTGACTGATTTGTGCCATTCGTGTTTTCGCACCGCGACCTCGGCAAGCGAAAAGTCGAGAATTATCAAGTTAAAATTGCGGGGCGCGGAGCGAAAACTCACCTAATTTGCGAGAGCGCGGGTCAAATTTATAAATAAATAAAAATTCGCCACGTGGGTGGGCGGATCGAGATTAAAGATATAAAACTGTGGGCGCGGAGTAATAACACGCTCATAAGTGGGTGCGCGGGGCAAGTTTAATAAAATAAAACTTCGCCCCGCCCACCCGCTAATTAGCGTAAATTAGCTCCACGCCCTGTCATTTTAACTTCAAAATTCTCGACTTTTGGCTTGGCGGAATCGCGGGTCGAAAACACGCTAATAAGCTGGAGGGCGGGGTTAAGTTGTGTTTATTAAATTTCGCCCCGCGCCCCTGCTAAGTATTGTGTTTTCGCTCCGCGCCCCCTCCGTTAAACTCATTAAATTTCGCTCCACGCACCCGCGGGGCGACGTTTTATTTATTAATTTTCCCCTCGCGCTCCCGCTATTTAGCGTGTTTTTTTCGCTCCACGCCCCCGCCATTTTAACTTGTAAATTCTCAACCTTTCGCTTAGCGATGCGAAAACACGCTACTTAGCGAGGTTGCAAGTCGAAGTTTTATTTGTAATTAAAGATCGCATCGCGTCAGCGCTAAAACGCTTGTTTACGCTCCGCGCCCAATTCGTTTTCATTCTTAAATCTCGATCCACGCCCCCGCGAGGCGAAGTTTTATTTAGTAAACTTCACCTCGCGCTCCTGCTAATTAGAGTGTTTTCGCTCCCCTCCTCCGCCATTTTAACTTGTTTATGCTCAACTTTTCGTTTGGCGGGGTCGCGAGGTGAAGACACAAATGGCACAAATAAGCCACCAAACGTCAAAAGGCAATTTTTTGAGAGAATGTCTTCATTAATACTTACTAAATATGAAACTAGTTCCTATAAAAAGTAGATAATGATTTGTTCCTTGTTTGACGTATTATGCGAAAAACTTGTTTAAACACATTTATACGATTATTTTACACATATAAAGCATAATGTTCTCTTAAGGAATCGTTCGATGACAAACTTTGCAAGCTAATATAAATAAACTTACGACTACCAAAGATCCTATAACTGCTAAGGTCTGATCTACAATATCCTGAAAATGATAACATTACATATTATTTTAGCTTCTTTTTTAATAATCTAATGACTGCAAGGCATTGACAGGTATCAACATGTTAACAAGTACAATTGATTTTATTCAAGTGACAGTGAATAGACTTTTTAACGATTTTATACCGCTTACAATATGATTCTATTCTTTGCCAATAAATATATTGTTATATTTATTTTTCATACAAGTGACAATAAAATGCTATTATGTTATTTCATACCAGTGACAATATATTTTTACAATAATATTTCATACCAGTGACAATATATTTTTACAATAATATTTCATACCAGTGACAATATATTTTTACAATAAGATTTCTTGTATCATAGTTTGGAGACCTTTCAGTTGAAAATGTGTCAGGATTAAATCGTATACATATACATGCACAGTGCGTTAACTGGAGTGCGGGTATTAGTTACCCGCACTCCAGAGCATGCCAATTGATTGGCTCATTTTTGCTGGGGTTTACATATTGTGACCGCAGAGAAAGGGAAAGCGACAGAAATGTCATATTCAGATGTTCGTTCATTGGTTCATTTTTGCCCGGGGTTTCATATTGTGACAACAGGGAACGTGCTTTTATGTTTTACTATGATACAAAAGAGAAAGAACACCAAAACACTCGGCAATCTGATTAATACTCGGGGGCTACGCCCCCTCGTACAAATCAGATAGCCTCGTGTTTCGGTGCTCTTTCTATTACATACCAGTTACAATATATTTTTACAATAATATTTCATACCAGTTACAATATATTTTTACAATAAGATTTCATACCAGTGACAATATATTTTTACAATAAGATTTCATACCAGTGACAATATATTTTTACAATAAGATTTCATACCAGTGACAATATATTTTTACAATAAGATTTCATACCAGTGACAATATATTTTTACAATAAGATTTCATACCAATTACAATAGATTTTTACAGAAAAATGTCATACCAGTGACAATATATTAAGATTTCATACCAGAAACAATATGTTGTTTTAATAAAATCACCTACCAGCGACAATATGTTGTTATTATAAGATTACATACCAGCGACAATATATTGTTTTTCATAAAATGTCATACCAGTGGCAATATTTTGTTATGATAAGATTTCTCAACATCGACAATATATTGTTATGATAAGATTTCACACCAGCGACAATATATTGTTAAACTAAGATTTCATACCAGTTACTATATAGTGTTATAATAAGATTTCTCACCAGTGACAACAGATTGTTTATTGTAAGAGAACATTGTACGTAAACTTGATCAGCCGGTCGAACGTTGATATTGTAACCAGTCAATAAATCTGTTTGTAATTTACTCTCGTCATTGATCGAATAGGCAAAAGTTTCTGAAATAGATTATATAACTGATAATGGCATATACATGTACACATATTATTCTTTATTTTCGTTATGAACGACATGTTATCTCGGATGTGCGCTCTGTATAACTGTTGATATGTTAAAAGATCTAAAACTCATTCTCATAATGTGACCTAGCAGAATTACATTACCTAAAAACATCAAATTCGTTCCATATTTTAATAATACTTTTGTAAAAAAAAAATTTCTTTAGCTCTAGCTATCTAATGTTTATCTCATAATTATTCTAATCTGCATTTACAATTTATAATTATTCCTCTAGATATTTTCCATTTAACAATGTCCATTATGATAATTAATTGTGATTTTTAGCGGAATAAAATAAAAGATTCTTACCTTGATACAAGGAGGTGAGAAGCACACATACAATAATTTTGAACATTTTTACTTCGTGAAGATATAACTGGTCCGCACGCAGAGACTGGGAGAAACAGCATTTTATATAAGTACAAGATATACCATAGCGCCAAACCATGCGCTTCTGACAAAATCTTATGTAAGTCGGAATAAATCAATGTCCATTAGAAATATTTTATAAAGGTTTGTAGTACATTCTAAAGGTTCATTGTGTGATTTAGTTTCCATTATTATTTTTTTAAGTGGCCCTTATCCAATACTTGAGTAGATGGGACAAAATGGGAACATAAATTCACATTGCTGAAAACGTGATTTCTATATTTAAATCATTATTATAAATCACTGAATTTAAGCTATAATCTCAGTTATTTACATAATCGTTAAATATTGGTAAACAAGTTATGCTGCCGGAAAATAAATGACCTTTGATAAAGAGGATGACTGCCTAAAGTTACTTTAATTGTAAATTAAGATTTTATTGTTATCCTCTCTTTTACATCTGGTCAATAATATTTGGATTTTGGTTTTCCTTTTAAACTAGCAGATAGAAACAAACTGGCAGATTTTAATAGTGCTTATTGGTACTATTATAGCTGAAAAAATATGTTTGATGAGTACTCAATATATTTTGAGGATACTTTATTCTTATTCTTCATTATTCAAGTATGTTGATATTTAATAGTATTATAAATAGTATTTTAATTAATTTAATGATTTACTGTAAAGAGGATGCTGTTTGATTTGAAGAAAAAAACAGAAATCACTCTTTAGATTTTCATTTCTGATTATTTCTATATTGCAGACTCATCAATGTACAATTCTGGTAAACACATTATAAAAGGAGATTACCACTCATTCATTATATTAACCGTCAGATTTAAAAAAAGGATGAATTGTTAGTTATATATTTGCAGATTGACGCTAAAAGCCCTGTTATTGTTTTAACTATATTCATATTAATCTGTACTTTGCGATGGATAGATTGTTACCTAGAGATGTTTGGCGATAAACATTGTTACCTAGGAATGATTGTCGTTAAATATTGCTACCTAGGAATGATTGGTGATAAATATTATGACCTAGGAATGATTGGTAATAAACATTGTTACCTAGGAATGATTGGTGATAAACACTTTTACCTAGGAATGATTGTTGATAAACATTGTTACCAAGGAATGATTGGTGATAAAATATTGTCACCTAGGAATGATTGGGGATAACATTGTTACCTAGGAATGATTGGTAATGAAAATTGTTACCTAGGAATAATTGTCATAAAATATTGTTACCAAGGATTGGTGATAAACATTGTTACCTAGGAATGATTGTTGTTAAATATTGTGATATAGGAATGATCAGAAATAAACATTGTAACCTATGAATGATTAGCGATAAAAATTGTTATCTAGGAATGATTGGTGATACACAATGTCACCTAGGAATGATTGGCGATGAACATTGTTACCTAGGAATGATTGGTAATGAAAATTGTTACCTAGGAATGAGTGTCGTTAAATATTGTTACCAAGGATTTATTGGTGATAAATATTCTTACCTAGGAATGATTGGTGATAAATATTCTTACCTAGGAATGATTGGTGATAAATATTCTTACCTAGGAATAATAAAATAACACTGCGCTACCGGTGTCAATGAATCAATAAGCCATCTTAAGCCACTTGAATTGTGCCGCAAAGCTGACAAACTCGTATGTACGTCAGAATAAATCAATGTCCATTACAAATGTTTTGTAAAGGTTTGTAGTACATTCTAAAGGTTATGTGTGTGATTTAGTTTGCATTATTATTTATTAAAGTGGCCATTATCCGATACTTAGTAGATGGGTCATAATGGAAACATAAATTCACATTGCTGAAAACGTGATTTCTATATTTAAATCATAATTATAAAGCACTGAATTTAAGCTATAATCTCAGTTATTTACAGAATCGTTAAAAATTGGTACAAAAATAAACTTTAACAAGTTATGCTGCCGGAAAATAAATGACCTCTAATAAAGAGGCTATGTAAACGTTATGCTTGTGAGAGAAGCATCTTTTATTTTTCAGATTAAGAATTAATAAAATGGCAATGTTTGTCTTTGATTGAACCTGATGTTTATTCGAAACTTTCACCCTTGTTGAAGTAATATAGGAGATGAGTCAATGATTCAATAAGTCATCTAAAGAGAATTGTGCCGCAAAAACTGACAGTGTGAGTTGATGTCTGAAGAAGTTTCACATTTATTTGGTTAAGTCGGAATTGTTTACTTATCAAATTAATGTTCAATATTCATGTAGTTTAATAATGTTTATAATGTTTGTAAAATATTAAGCTTATTTAATTAACGTTGAACTTATCCCACGAAACAGTACTTTCTGATCGGACAATTTTGTCAAATTGTCATATCTTCGTAACCTGATGGCAAATTTGAAAAAGAAATTGTGAAAAATTGTTGAAATAACATTTATTTTTAGTATAATGATATAACTGCATAAACATATAATAATCCTTTATCGGCTAAATATGAACGAGAACTTTGAACATATATGTGAATATGATAACGACATTAAATATTTATGATTTATGTTAAATGCAAGTAACAATTATTTCTTTAATAATAGTGATGGTGTCAAAAGAGCCACAACAAGCAAACAAGATTAACACTGGGAAGAGAAAATGGATTTATTTTAGGGGCACAATAAATGGAGAGAATGTGGTATATACGGCAGATACCTGGGCGTCTAAGACAATCATCTCCATGAGGGTGTACGATAAACTTCCAAAGGCCAAACGCCCAGTGTTGGATTACTCTGTAAATATAGTTGGTGCCGGAGGTGCACTTATTCGAGGCATCGGTAGAGCAGAGTTTGAGTTAACTCTCGGCTCACTGAGGTTACTTGAGAATGTCTTGGTTGCAGAGATCGAAGACGATGCTTTGCTGGGGTATGACATTTTAAGGGGAAGTAACGGGGAGCCTGCCGATATACTTTTGTCTAAAAATAAAATAGTATTAAATGGAGTAGAAATACCTGTTTTTCAAGTAGGAAATGAAAAACGAGCAAGGCGAGTTGTTGTGGCGGACGATGTGAAGTTACCAGGCCAAGCTGAAGCGTTAGTCAGCGTCTACGTTGAACGTTTTGAAGAAGATGATAGGCTCGATGCGGACTTTATTATAGAACCTACAGCACATTTCAAAGAAAGCTATCCACTGCATATGGCAGGAACGCTAGTAAATATCAATCGTGGTCCCACTTGTAAGGTTCGTATCCTTAATCCGTTTCATAACGAACATACGCTAAGACAAGATTCAGAAATCGGTCGAGCAGAGCGTATAGTAAGAGTAGTCAGTAGAATAACTGAAGCTGAACATGCTGAAGAGAAAATGAATTTTGAAAGCGCGAAGAGTTCAAATAGTCAATCCAGCTGGCGACATCGCGGTGTCACAATCTGAGTTAGGCACAGAAAAAGATGTACCTGAACATCTTAAAGATTTGTATTGTAAGGCAATTGAAGGTAGGTCAGACCATGAGAAGCAGGTCATTGCAGGACTTCTTTCAAAGTATCAAGACACCTTTTCAAAATCCGAATGGGATATAGGCCTGACTGATTTGGCAGAACATCCGATAAATACAGAAGGCTCTCCTCCAATAAAACAACGCCCTCGAAGGGTCCCTTTGGCCTATGCCGAAGACGAGAAAAGGGCGATAGAAGACCTATTACAAAAGGGTGTCATACGTAAAAGCACCTCAACTTGGGCTTCTCCGATCGTCGTTGTGAAAAAAAATCAGAAGCAGTAAGACCTTGCGTTGACTATCGAAGGGTAAACGCACTTGTCAAACCAGATGGGTTCCGACTTCCGCGTGTGCAAGTCTGTTTAGATGCAGTTGCTGGAAATTCACTATTTGGGAGTTTTGACTTGACCAGCGTTCTGTTGCAAATATGGCCATTTTAAGATGACCCGTATGCCGTTTGGATTGAGATTGAGTAATGCAGCTAGTACGTTCCAACGCACTATGGAAATTGCGCTCCAAGGACTGCAATGGGAAACTTGTTTTGTCTTTATAGATGATATTATTGTTCATGGCTCCAGTTTTGAGCAACATATTTCAAGAGTAGATCAAGTGCTTGAACGTATTAAATTAGCAGGGTTTAAGCTTAAGCCCGATAAGTGTCACCTTTTACAAACAAAAGTTGTATTTTCTAGCAAAGGTGTGTTACCTGATCCCTCTAATGTATTACAAATTGCAGAGTGGCCTCGTTCAAATAATGCCAAGCAAGTGAAACAGTTTGTGGCAACTGGGTCGTACTATCGTCTTTTTGAAAAAGATTTTTGCAAAAACCGCCCGCCCACTGATTGACCTTACAAAGAAAGATGTAAAGTTTGTTTGGTCCGAGAGCTGTGAAGTTGCTTTTAATTTAATTATGAACACTTTAATGGGTCCTGAAATTATGGGTTATCCCTTGAACGAATCTGGTAGTTTCTATCTTGATACAGATGCGTCGGGTTCCAGGATAGGGTCAGTCCTCCAACAGATGCAATCAGGTCGCGAACGCGTAATCACAAATGCGAATCATGGTTTAAAAACAAGGCCGAGAGAAATCACTGTATTAGCGAACAGTAGTTTATTTCGTGCAATATTTTCGCCAGTATTTATTGAGTCGGCATTTTGTTGTACGTTATGACCACCAAGCGCTGGTGTGTCTATTTAGGTTAAAAGAGCCTAGCCAAACACCTAGAGATTGTACTTGTGAACAAGTGGACATGAGTGAGCCATTGAAATGC